CAAATTTTTAAAATATTCATTAAAAATAAAAATACAAAAAATAAAAAATGCAATTTTTGAAAAATTTAAATTAAACATTTGAGATCAATTAAGAAAACTAAAATTATTGATATTTAAATTAACGTAGCGGTGGCGTAAATGATTTGATTCATTTCAAATTAAATTCATAATTATAAATTATAGAATAAATCATAAAGTGCAATTTACTTATTTCAAAAATTGAATCATAAATTGAAGAAAGGGAAAACTACCTTTCCAGTAGTGACACAGAATTTTTTTTTGTTTTCTCACAAACCTTACAGTACATCCCATTATAAAAGTATTTATAACCCACATGTCTTTATATTTTTTTTTTGAAAAATGCTTTAGTTTCTAATGATGTGATAGTTATGTGAGTCCACTTTAATGTGATATTTTGGTTTAAATTTTTTTTTTAGAACTTGCCAGACTCTCTTTAGAGCTATACTTTTAAAAATTTAGATCATTGCTGTTTCAGTCCCGATTGTGAGTTCGAATTTGAGTCCCCCGAATCCCCCGAATTTTATTTTATTTTATTTTTTTTTTCAGAAGAAGAAAATCAGAGGAAGAAGGACGAGAAGAAGAAGAAGAAGAACTGGAGGGGAGGGGGCCAACAAAATCGGGCTGGAGGCGGAGGCGGGGCCGGAGGCGACGGCGGGGCTGGGGCTGCGACGAGCTGCTGCTGCAACGATCGGAGCTGGGCTGCAATGACGACCGGGCTGAGTAACGATCGGCGATCGGTGAACCTCTCTTCTCTTTCTCTCTTCCCCTCTTCTTCTCTCTTTCTCTCCCTTTTCCTCTTTATGACGAAAATGGAAAATGAAAAAACTACTGGAAAATGGAAGAAAAAAAAAAAGAAAAAAAAAAAGCCCAAAACGATGTCGTTTTAGGCATTCGGGAGATTCGGGGGGAACAAGTTTCGAGCTATAAAACATTAATCTTGCTGTTTGTTTTCTGTATTACTGTGTTGAAACTGGACAAGCCAGTGTAATCAGATCATTTTTTTTGATTTTTTTTTGAGTCCTGCTGGAGACCTCAGTAGGAAAGCACCCCCAGCACCCCCCCACCTCCACGTGGGGGGCTGGCAATGGATGAAAAAAAAAATATATATATATTTTTTTTACCAATCAGGCATAACCCCAGCACCTACACTAAGGGTCTCATGCATTTCCGTTTTCTTTTTTCAGTCCTGACGCAAGTCTCAATGTAGTATTTAAACATTTATTAAAATTGCATTAGCGAATGATTTTAAAGTACACGAAAAGACTTTTATAGTGGATTCATGAATATACGACTACAGAAAGAGAGTATAAGGAAATGAATTGGCTTTGTCAATACCTAACATTTTCAAACCATGACTATTTCTTCTGCTACTCTCACAGCAAACAACAATACCAACAACAACAACCTCTTTCTGTTCACATCATCATCAAAACCCATCAACTAATTCATCTCTGGTTAGTATAATTATGGTGTTATGTTCATAGATAGCTTTAAAAACCCATTGTATGTAATATGCTTTTGGTTTGACAGTTCTTTCTGTTGCTAATAACTGTTTAAATTGAAACTTTCTTACTTATGTAAAGGTTAATAAATGCAGTTATTAAAGAAAATTAAAAAAAAGTGCCATTTTCATTGCTTCTACTATGTATTTGGTCCTACATGCTTCTCTTTTGGCATACATAATGTGAGTGTTTGGGAAGTGGTTTTTTTTAGAGGTTTTTGGATTTTTTTTTATTATTTTAGTAGGCTATTTTAGTTTTTGTATTTGTGAAGATAGAATAGATTTTTATTTGAGTTGTTGTATTGAAAAATATGTTTGAAATATTGTTTGAGGTTGAAATAACAAATTTGTCATTTACTTTTTCCAAAATTGGCCTATAGAGGCAAAAGTGTCATTTCGGCCTGTGGGACTATGCTGGCCCTACCCACTGCATTGGTTTTTTGTTTTTTGTTTTTTTTAATAAATATAAATTATTAGTTTAATAGGCTATTTGGCTTTTTTTGTACTTGAGGTTATTTTAGCCTCAACTTTGGATTCCCAAACACCTCCAACATTTAAGCAAGATTCATGTATTTAGTTGGAGGATTTAAGGAGAGATTTGAAAAGGGAAAGGAAAAATAAAAAGATGTGTGAAACTAAGTGAAATATATGTTTATTTTATTTACATTTCACCTACATTTTTTATTTCCCTTTCCAAATCTCTCAGCCAACACCAATGAGAAGGGGTGTTGCTGTGTCTAAGGCACAACAGTCCCTTTGTGGGTGATTGTCTCGAGTGTTTTTCGATAATCTGAACCGTACATATTATATGGTTTGTTCAGACTATTATGCTTATAGAAAATCAAGTTAATCGGATATTCATAACCCCATGATTAGGGCCTAATTATTTTTAAAAATTTATAAAAGTTATGTTAACCCTTAAATTTTATAAAAACAAATGTGCTTTGGGTATAGGGTTATAGATATTCAATCAATTTGATTTTTTGTATGGATAATCTACTTGACAAACCCTACAATACAAACGATTCAGATCATCGAAAAACACTCGAGACAACCTCCCACAAAGGGCGCAACAATAACTGTTGTTCCTTAGGCACAACAGTACCCCTATTATTCATATAGAAAATCAAGTTAATTAGATATTTATAACCCATGATTAGGTCCTAATTATTTTTAAAAATTTATAAATGTTATGTTAGCCGTTAGTTTTTATAAAAACAAATGTGCTTTGGGTATAGGGTTACAAATATTCAATTAATTTGATTTTTTGTATAGATGATCTACTCGACGAACCCTATAATATGAACTATTCAAATGATCGAAAAACACTCGAGACAATTTCCCACAAATGATACAACAGTAACTGCTGTGCCTTAGGCACAGTAGTATCCCTTCTCAACCAAAATGCAACAGATCACTCTTAAAAAATTGTGCTGTGTTTTTGTCTTTGATTTGTGGACCCTTTTTTTGTCTTCTGCAAATTCAAGATCAAACACATAGTTGACCTACCTAGATTTCTCATATCTCTAGTTCTATATCAATTTGGCAAAATAATATTCATTTGGAAAATTGGGTGCAGGATAATTTGTACTCCAATAGTGTTTGCTCCCTTTCCCTTTGCTCTATGTGTTTTAGTTGAAATTAATATGAAAAAATTTCTTCCCCGTCCTTTTTCCTCTTTTTATTTATAATTTTTACTTTTAATACCCATTGACTGGGTGTATATAATACTAAAATAAATTACCAAACTTGTCAATTCTAGATTTAAAAATATAAAAATACAGATAAAAATTCAACTTTGAAAGTATTCAGTTGGTTTGGTTTGAAGTTTCAGAATTCACTTTTTAAAAAATTAAAACTCTGTTTGGTAGAGTTTTGTAAATTTAATTTCATCCATTGGTTTGAGTGTGGTGTTCGGTGATAGTTTTCAAAAATTGATTCCACACCCATTGTTGAAATATGTCTACCCGGTCATCCGCCCAAACTTCTGGCAGGCCGATTGACCGGAACAGTGTTCGTTTTTTTTTTTTTTTTTTTCCCTTGTTTTTTTTTTTTTACAAAAAAAAATTGGGAAATTTTTTAAAAATTTTTTAAATAAAATTTTTCTTTTATTGATAAAATATATATGTGTATATATATATATATATCTTTGGGCCATGCTCTTCATGTTTTTTCTGGGGCCTTTTCACTGTCTCAATCCGTCTAAAGCTTGCCGACGATTAAATTCTACTCGGAGCTATTTAACTTGTTTGATTTGAATTTTCGGAATTTATAGCTTAGAAAATTGAAAAAAAAAAAATTTCTGTACACTGAATTTTTTTTAACATTTTAAGTAATTTTTTTTTAAATTTTTAGATACATTTAACATAAATACACTTAAAAAGTATAATATTTGTGAACAAAAATCTTTAAAAAATTCATTAAATACTAAAAATACAAAAAAATATAAAAAAAACATTTTTCGTCTTCTTATGTATTTATTGAATTTTTTTAAATATTTTACTTTTTAGATACATCTAAGTAAGATGTATCTAAAGAAATAAAAAATTGCTTAAATTTTTTAAAATATTCATTAAAAATAAAAAATGCAAAAAATAAAAAATGCAATTTTTGAAAAATTTAAATCAAACATTTGAGATCAATTAAGAAAACTAAATTTATCGATATTTAATTTAGCGGTGGTATAAATGATTTGATTCATTTAAAATTAAATTCATAATTATAAATTATAGAATAAATCATAAAGTGCAATTCACTTATTTCAAAAACCGAACCATGAATTGAAGAAAGGGAGAATTACCTTCCAGTAGTGTGACAGAATTTCTTTTTTACACAAATCTTGCAGTTATCATAAAATTACATATAATCTGCATATTTTTATATTCTTTAATCTGTCCTACTGTGGTGAAATATATTACACTAAAAGAAACTGTACAAGTCAGCCTAATCATATCGAGCAACGATTTTTTCCTTTTCCTACTTAACTTCTTATTTGAGATTGAGATAGGTCATTAGATTGACTTTTTGGTCTAATTTTGATAATTTGAATCATTTATATTTTAAAATTTATCATGTGTATCATATTTACAAAAAATCAAGTCGATCGAATATTAAAAACTACATAAACTAAAAGTTTTATTAAACAATAAAACTGTTTATTAAATTTTTTTAATAAATGATTTTTAGTTCTTTCCATATTCGATCAATTTGATTTACGAATATAATATATATGACAAATTATAAAATATGAACGATTCGAATAATTAAAATTAAGTCTAAAATCTAATGATCCATCAAATAAAGAGTGAAGGAGAAAATTGAAAGAGGGAATTCGTGCGCAATCAGATCATCTTTTTGAATTTTTTTTTTTTTTTTTCCAATCCTGACGCAAATCTCAATGTACTATTTAAACATTTAAAATTGCATTACTTTTAAAGTACACGAACAGAACATTTATAAGCAATATTTTTGCTCAATAATTGTAGTGGATTCAGGAATATATTCGACTACAGAAAGCGACTATAAGGAAATGAACTGGCTTTGTCAATGCCCAACATTTTCAAACCATGACTATTTCTGCTAGTCTCACAGCAAACAACAACAACAACAACAACAATCTCTCTCTGTTCACATCATCATCAAGACCCATCAACTCATTCATCTCTGGTTAGTATGATTATGGTGTTATGTTCATAGATAGCTTTAAAAACCCATTATATGTAATATGCTTTTGGTTTGACAGTTCTTTCTGTTGCTAATAACTGTTTAAATTGAAGCTTTCTTGGTTATGTAAAGGTTAATAAATACAGTTATTAGCATTGGTATTAGATTTAGCAGACACCTGAAAAGTTAAAAAAAAGTGCCATTTTTCATTGCTTCTACCATGTATTTGGGTCCTACATGCTCCTCTTTTGGCATACATAACATTTAAGCAAGATTCACTTAAGCTGCAACAGATCACTGTTAAAAAATTGTGCTGTGTTTGTGTCTTTGATTTGTGGACCCTTTTTTTTTCTTCTGCAAATTCAAGATCAAAATACATAGCTGACCCACCTAGATTTCTCGTATCTCTAGTTCTATATCAATTTGGCAGAATAATATTCATTTGGAAAATTGGGTGCAGGATAATTTGTACTCCTATAGTTTTTTTTGCCCCCTTTCCCTTTGCTATATGTGTTTTACTTGAAATTAATATGAAAAAGTTTGTTCGCCGTCCGTTTTCCTTTTTTTATTTATAATTTTTACTTTGATTACATTTACATATTTCATAGGGGTGATTTTGAATTTCTGTTTTGTTAGAGAATTTTACAGTCATTGTATCTTAACTTTCTTGCCCCTTGAATGTAATTTGATGCTTGAAACATCGTGTATCCATTTAGAATGCTAGTGTTGCCGAGCATTCGAGGAATGCATCAGATAGAAAGGCAGATAGTTTTTGTATTTTTCTCTTGAAAGTGCTACTAATGTTTTGAATGGTACTTGTGTGCCTATGGGCTTCCTAAACCTCCAAAAGGTGCTATGGTGCCCCTTTTGAAATCTCTCACTTTTCTTTTTATTGTTTCTCCTGTTGAGAGGCTCTAGATCAGTGCACAATGCATGCTAGAAAACATTACATTTAGAGTCTGTTTGGAAAACTAGGAGAGAGGAAAAGAAAGAAGAGTAGTATCCTTCCTTTTTGTTTTGATAGTTTATGAGACAAAAGAAAAGGAAGGAGTGGGGCAAAAGAAAAAAAAAAAAAAGATAATAAATTTGTGTTTTGTGAATGAGAGGGGCAAAACAGGCACTTACTAATCCTCATTTCTTTTCTCCCCAATCTCTCCAAATTCAAAAAGTGGCTCTTAAGTGATTTTGGTTTCTCTTCATTTTCCTCCTGGTAACCTATCCAAACAAGTGATTGGGCAGCAATATGAGAGAGTTGCTTTTATTTTCCTTTATCTCCAAAAAAAAAAAAAAAAAAAAAAAACTCATGGTGAACCATAATTCAGCTGAATTTTAAGAAGTTTGTTACACTATAGAACAGGTTGCTTGAATAGATAATTGTTATCTGTTTACAAAATGGGTAATTGCTTTATGATTGACAAACCCTTCATATTTTCATGATTCGCTTCGTTATGTATTCCCATAGTTAGCTACTTTAGTATTCTTTTGATTGCTGTAGTCAACTGTGGAAAATATTATTAATTTCATGAAATGTATGAATGTGTTCGTTCTTGCTGGTAATTGCAATTCCAACTGAATACTTAATTATTAGGATAACAGTTCACAAATTTGAGGCCCGTTTTCAAAGATTGTAATGCATTTTCTTCACCTCTTATTACAGGAGCATGCACTTGAATAGCACTGTTGGCTTATACTTCCCAGATTCACAAATCTTCAATTGAATTATGCGTTCTTTCTTGGGCTGCTTTCGGTTGAAGAAAGCTGTACATAAACCGGGGTCTGGAGATCATGCCATTCTTGCTTCTGAAACAACTTGTGAGTATAGAAGCTCTAGTTTGCTAAACCTCTTCTTAGTAGATAACTTAAATTGACCCAAAAGACATCTAAAACTAAGGCACTTTCGTTTATTTGGCAGTTACTGTAAATGAAGTAGAGGCTTTGCATGATCTATACAACAAACTAAGCAGTTCTATAATTGACGATGGTCTTATTCACAAGGTATCTTTAGTGCAGTTCTTGATATGAAGTTTGTGATTTATGCTTTTATATCACCTAGTTCAAGTTCCAGATTCTGGATATTGTGATTTGTTTTTCTACTAAGTTAGTTAGGATTTTTGGCTCTTTAATTGGTCACTGATAAGTTCTATGCACCAAGTGCTTAATTATTTCTATCTTTTTGAAATTTCGTGAACAGGAAGAGTTCCAACTTGCACTCTTCGACAACGGCAGCAAGCAAAGTCTCTTGGCAGACAGAGTCCGTATATACATCCTGGCTTCTTTAATCATTTTAATATTTTTTTTTTCTAAGTATCTTATCTTATGGTATTTCTCATTAAGAGGAGGGCTGACCCTAGGCATAGGCAGGCAAGGCCTCCATCTAGGGCCCCCCAACTTTTTGTTGAAATTTAGGGCCGAGAAATGTTTTTGTTTGCTTATTAAACCTCAAATAAAAAAGGGCCCAATCCAAAGCAATGGTCCCAAATGAATATTGTTGGCTATACCAGTCACAGTTTCTTATAGTTCTTCAAAGTTAAAGTTGGTAAAATCTTATATTCAGTTAACCATGTCACAAGAAACATTAAATAGATTAGCAATGTTATTCATTGAAAATGATATGATAGATTATACAATTTTGCGACTAAAAGTGATACTATGCTACAATTTGTTCAATTTTTATTTGATATTTTAGTTTGGTTTTGGTCTTTTTCTTTATTATAAACTGGATTTTGCTATCTATATAAGTAAATTTTAATATGTAATTTTATTAGTTATATATGGAAGCAAACTTTTTTCCCCCTTCCTTTTTTGTGAATATATAAAGGAGAATCTATGCAAAATCATTAGCTTAACGTAATTGTCAACCCTTAGGAGATTAGCAGCAGCAACAAATAAATATGCTTCATGATGTTTTTATGCTTTAAAGCATTTTGCAAGGTGTCTTTATGTCTTAAAGTTGTCGTCAACTTGGTAGTTTAAGGGAATAAAGGGAATAAAGCGTTATATACCATTTAGCTCATCTGGCCACATACGAATGATAAAACAAAACTCTTGAAGGTCACCATTATGTTATGGATCCTCACCATACGAGTATTCAGCAAGCTAAAGTCATTCACAATTTTTGTTTCAATTTGTTGCAGTTATTCGATTTGTTTGACCTTAAGCAGAATGGAGTTATTGAATTTGGAGAATTTGTTAGATCATTAAGCATCTTCCACCCAAATGCTCCTGAAGCAGAAAAAGTTGCATGTTAGACAGCCATGACAGAGTCTCTTATTTCAGCTTTTTTCTTCTTCTTTTTTTTTCTAATTTTATTTCATATAATGATGATATGTCTTCTTGTTCCCATATGTACTACTATGTCATCTCTAGAAGATTTTCCCCCCAAATGCACCACCACTAACTTTGGGAGGAATTTTATTGCAGTTGTATTCAGATTGTATGATCTAAGGTGCACTGGCTACATAGAGCGTGATGAGGTGAATGTCTCGAAAACATTTATCGCAATTTATCTCTTATAATTCTCAGAAACTGCCTTCTTTGGCTAGCTAAATTATCTTTTCCTATTTCCGGTAAAAATTACCTTTTTTATGTGCTATTTCCCCTTTCTCAATACATAATTTTTATGTGCTGGACATTTAAATTTCCTAGGTTGTTAACATCTTGCACAACCCTCTCTAGGTTTCCCTTTTACAGGAAGTCAGCAACATGATATGTTTTGGAATATGCATTTTGTTTATTCCTATATACTGGTTATTGGAAAAAATATTAGAGTAATAAGGGGACAAAGCCTTTGTTTGAAACTATATAATGCATGTATTGGTCTAATCTATACTAGCTCACAATGTTATAATCACCCATATATTTTAATTGCAAAAATAAATGTAATTTTTTTTTTTATAACCTTGAAGTTGAAGGAGTTGGTATTGGCTCTTCTGAACGAATTGGATTTGACACTTTCTAATGATGCGGTTGAAGCAATTGTTGAAAAGGTGAATGAATAATCACACTCTCTCTGAGTTGTTGATTTAACCTTCTAGCTAGCTATATTAAAACTCTGTGATCATCTTCTTGCAAACAATCATGGAAGCAGATTTGAAAGGAGATGGGAGGATTGATCCAGAAGAGTGGAAGGAATTGGTAGCAAGGCATCCATCTATATTAAAAAACATGACTGTTCCATATTTGACGTGAGTTATATATAATTCTATAAAAATCATGATTAAACATTTTTTCAACAGCCCAAAAAAAGTCCGATCATAGTCCTTTGGAAGAAATAATAATATATATATACACACATAGGACTGTCAATTTTTCCTACATGTACTCTTCATGTGAGTAACACTATGTTAAAAAAATTATGAATTTTAACATCCAATTTGAACAGAATGATGAACTTAAAGTCTAGGATTATTGACATATGTTTTAATTGAAATAATAAGAACTAAAGTGAAACTTGGGTAGCAAACTATTAGGGTAAAAAAGTGTAGTCGACCAAAAAAGTATATTGAACTGGTAACTGCACTCTTTTAATTTCTACTGTGCTCAGTTTACTTCTCATTTAACTGTGACAAATTGATTAGCGTGTGGTAGTTATTGTGAGATTTTTGACTGTGTGGTTACCATATTTCAGGGAAATAACACTGGCATTTCCAAGCTTTGTGCTGAACACTGGAGTCCAAGAGTCAGAACTATAGCTTCCTGGAAATGAAACTACTTTTGCATACATAGATTCAAGTCACTAACTCTGGTTTTGAGAAGCACTGAACACATCATGGAATTTCCATATGGAGATTTCTGTATAATGTTTTCACTTGAAGAAAGTGGCACAATAAAAGACTGTCAAGAGCCGAAGGTTCACTTACATATGGCTGTTTTGATAGAGTTTTCTGTCTGTTTCATTGTTGCCAATGTATGAACAAAGACTAATTCTATGTTACACACCTTTAGGACAAGTTTGGCAACACCAAAATAATCCATCTTTTTATTTTTTTATCTTTTTTCCATCACATCACCTCTTTACTTTTCTGCACATCTTTTCGTAAAAAGACAAAAAATACACTTATTTAAGTCATGCCAAACAACCCCTTAATTTCAAGTCTTGTGGTCTGAGATTATGAATTATGACAGCTTTGCTGGAATTATGCATAAATTCAGTGGTTTTTTTGCTTTGTTTTTTGGTTTTCCCAGTTAGGTTGATTAATTTGTTAAAATTATATATAACCATCTTTTGGGGTAAAATATTAATAATATAAAAACAAATCATTTATATGATGTGAGAGATGATAATTGAGGAAATGATGTGCCGCTGCTGTAATCTTTACCATTTCTGAGTGAGAAAAGAAAAAGGGTAAGGTGGGCAAAGGTTTGTCATGGTAGCCCAGTTGTCAATGCATGCGAAACAAAACCTGAATTTAAATAATGAACCTGGGTGAGCAAATAAAATTTACTATTTTCACCCAGAAATAATAATAACAACAACAACAAATTGAGAAAGAATAACATTGACAATAATATTAGCCCAATCCAAATCCATCCAAGTACAAATAATTGGAACTTCACCTCATGTAATATACTTAATTTTCTGACAAGTGGTAAAGGTCAGGCTGAAAATTACCCAATCATATCTTTGGAAATTTAGAAAGGAAATATGATTTGCAAACATAAATTTTATACATAAAAGCTCACTGGCATGATATGATGTGGGTGTTTGAGAAGTGAATTTTTATGTAAGTTTTTTTAGTTATAAAATATTATTGGATAAAATTTTTTTGGTGTTTGGAAAGATAGTTAGGTTTTTTTGTGGCTGGATGTGATGTTTGTGACAGAAAAAATGAAATGATTATGGGGTTGGATGCGATATTTTGTTTAGATATGTTTTTTTTTTTTTTTGCAAAAAATTTGTCTTTTAGTGAAAAAAATCAAAAAAAAAAATCCCAAACTCAAGTTCCCAAACACCACCGATGGTGACAGTTTTGAAATAAAGTCACTTTGCCTCCGTTTGGGAAGTCGGTTGGCTTTTTGGCTATTTTGACTATTTTAGCCTGGGCTTAAAAGCTTGGTTTGGGAAGGACTTTTTGGCTTTTTTGAGTTTTTTTGTGAAAGAAGAATGTAATGATTATGGGTTGGATGTGATGTTTTGTTTGTTATGGCTAAAATAGCCTATTTTGTTTTTTGTGGCTAAAATAGCCAAAAAAACCTACAAACCCACTTGCCAAACACAGGCATTTGATGGGTCTTTTGGTTTTAAGAGTATCTCCAATGCACTAGGCATATAATACTTGTTAGTTAAAATGCCTAGTGTGATTCACTTTTTTCAATTCCAATGCACTAGGCATATGATTAGGCATTTTGGCTCAACTCATATTCACTAGCTACATGTAGCTAGCCTTCAACGCTAGGCAAAATGTATTCAATCATTAGGATCATTTCCCTCCATCTTTGTTGTTGACGTGGCATTCTATAAAATTAATAGTATTTGGATAAATAGCTAAAATAAAGAGCATGGTTGGAGTAAAAACATAAAACAGTTGATAGGCAAAATAAAATATATACTTTATAGTAATATTCAGATAGGTAAAATGCCTACTACCGTTGGAGATGCTCTAACACAGAAGATAAAATTACGAGCGAAATACGCAATCAACTTCAACCGTTTACAAAAACGCTAATCACGTCCCTCAAGAATCGATCTGTGAGTTACCTTTTCACTCAACCACCCTGCTGGTCACCATCTTCTTTTGCTATCAAACTTCTCAACGAGTCAAAGGGACAAAATCAAAATGAGACTATCAGCCACTTTTTCTACAGAAACAAATGCCTCCCACCTAAGAGACATGGCCTGCTGCTCCGCACGCGACAACAATTGTTTTTTCCTTAATGGGCCCACCATTGTTGATAAATTTTTTTCCTTAGGTCAGAAGTGTAGGAACCATTTTATACGCACCTCATTTATGTCTCCATTTGAAAAGTGGGTTAGTTTTTTACTTTTTTTAATTTTTTGGGCTATTTTAGTCTGGACTAAAAAGCTTTGTTTAGAGAGTATTTTTTGATTTTTTGATTTTTTTGTGAGAGAATAGTGTAATGATTATGGGTTGGATGTAATGTTTTGCTTGTTGTGGCTAAAATAGCCTATTTTATCTTTTATAACTAAAATAACCAAAAAAGCTCTTGTTGCCGCTTAAATAGCGTATTTGTTTTTTCTCAACTGACCAACGGCAACTCATCATGCCGAAAATAAGAAACTCACGAAAAATTCTCTCACGGCATAATTTGAAATATATTGAATAAATATTTTATTTGCATTTGCACTAAAGTATATATAATAATATTTTTTTGACGAGAAGAAAATAAATAAACATGTGTATAAAAATTAAAGTGTGAATTAAATTCATTCTCTATTTACTGTAGAGATTACAATACATCTCTTGTTTTTTAGCTTATTTTTGTGTTTTTTTATTATATAATATTTTTGTATAGAATGCTATAACCAGTTTGAATTTGTTATAAAACCCAATTACCACATTGTTTTAATGGAGGGTTATTTTATTTTATTTTTTTGATTGACAAAGAAAATAAGAATTACAATTGCTATAGTGCAAAAACCGTGAACCTCCTCAGGGTTTAGAGGTAAAAATAATAGTACCCCAATTGTATTGGAAAAAATGGTTTATATAGGCATATTTTGGGCCAATTTTGAGCTCAAAATTGAGTGGGCCCCCAACGTCTTTTGGGGCGGGTCCGAAGAGGTGAAGTGTTTCTTATCGCGTGGCAAGTCACACGGTGAAGACAGTTCATCAAAATCATTTATGAGTGAATGAGAACATGACGTTGTTTTCAGGTTCGTGGAATAAGAAATTTAAGGAAGTAAATGTCACGACCCCAAACCGCCCCTAGTAGTTTGGTGCCATGATGGCCAGTAATCCGAGATTACCGAAGGCCAACTTTCAAAATTCACACACAATTAGGTCATGTTTGATTCACAACACTAATAGTGAAGTATTAATAATCCTATTAAATTAGTGTGTTATTAACTATATTATTAAAAATTATTAATTGACTTCATGATTTATTAATAAAAGGGCCAATATCACAATTCGGAAGTGATTTGTATTTTAATCAAATCTCAAATGGTGTATTGTAATTTACCCTTTTTTTATTTAACAATATTAATTAAAAAATAAAATTTTTAACTGTTCTTTTAATCGTTGGCATCATAAATAAATTATTATTATTATTATTATTATTATTATTATTATTATTATTATTTACAGAATATGTGACACTCTCCTACTTATTTAAAAGTTTAGAGAAGTTATTAAATATTAAAAACATATGAAAAAAATGATGGAAAAAATGGAGGACATAGAGTATAGATTGAAGGAAGTAGAAGATCATGGAGTGTGAAATATAAGAGATAGGAGATATAGGGTAGTTAATAGGTAATTTTTTTCTTACATGTCTTTTGCTTATAAATAATTGTTCATGGCTACACGGCTACATTGTAAGATTATCCAACTCAAATAAAAAAATAATTATATTTTTCTTGACATTCTTTTTATCTTAGAAGTAGTTTAATATAAATTTATTTCCAACACTTTATTTCCAAAGCGTAGGAGTAGAGGTAATTTAATGATTGCTTTGATTGTTCATTCAATCACCCTAATTGTTTACTCAATCGACTTTCTCTGTCTCTCTCTCTTCTTCTTTTAATTTTTCGTTTATTTACACTTAGTAATTTTGAAGTCCTATTCATTAAGGCAAAAGAATTGTCAACGCAATCGCTTGATAATTTGCTTGAAGTCCTATTCATGATATTTTTCTTTGTATGAAAAATAAGCCAAAAATAACGAACATATACAATAATAAAATTATTTAAATTACTAATTAAAATATATTTCTGATATTATTAAAAATTATTAATTGACTTAATAATTTATTAATAAAATTGATCATTTATTATGAAATTAAAAATTTCAAAAAATAAAATATAATTTTTAAAACTAAAGGATCAATTTGTATTTTAAACGAATCAATATTTATAATTTACTTTTAAAAATGCACATAATGGTACTGCCTGCCTCAATAGGATTGTTTCTACGTGGATAGGATTTTATTTTCATTTTTATTTTTTTTGAAAAATGTAATTAAAAATGCTGCTTAAAGGTAAAAACAGTGTTTATACTATCACAATGCTACGTTTTGAGAGGTTGAGCTCTTCTCGGGAAATGCCAGTCTCGTTTGGGAATAACTTATTTTAGTTAGTTTTTTAATTTTTTTAATTTAGTTAAAAATATTGTATATCAAATGATAATTGATCCTTTTTTTTTAAAAGTTAATTTGATGATTACAAGAGAAAAAGTAAAATGATTATGATGTATCTGAGAGATTATGTAATTGAATGACAGATGATGTATCTAATACTATTGATAACAAGATTATGTAATTGAATGAGAGATTAATAGATGAATAAGTTCTTACATAGAAAAATAATGAATCTGATACTATTGATAACGACGATTCTAAAAATAAAATATCATCCAATGTAATTGTAAAAGTTTTGTTCTTTTTTTGAAGACAATAATATAATAGTTTCATAGGTTGTTTTACTTAAAGTTTGAAAATTTTAAATGTTGTTTAGTTTATTTATTTTTGTAAAAGAATTAATTTAACATATATATAAGGTGACTCATTTATAAAATTTCTGGAGTTGCGACTAGATTTGCTAAATGATCATGATGAAGGATTGTCAATCATTGGCTTGTGAAGTCTAATAACTATTCTATTTTGATCAGATAATATTATAGTTAAGGTGGTTAATATGTACGAATTTATAGATTAATAGAATAAAATGATATTCACTAGTAATGAAAAGTCTCTACGTAATTACCCTATTAAAAATTAAAAACTAAGGAAAGAGTAAAATATACCATGCTGAATTCAAAAGATTTAATGTACTTTTTAAAAAACCAAGAGAAATGTAAGTAACCTAAATACTATTTACAACACCGTTACATCTACCGAATTTGTTTAGTTCGAATTCTTCTGAATAAGTCTCTTTTCAAGAAGAATCGATTAATTCTTCCCAGAAAAAGACTCATTTGGACGAATTTGGGCCACTCATTTTGAGGAATTCAGATTAAATAAATTCAGTGAATAAATCATTAACCTACTATTTATGAAGAAAGTGGAAAATAGTTGGTAGGGAGAAAATAGCGTTTTTAGACGTATTTGTAGGGAGAGATTTTTAAAAACATGCTGACAGCATTCTTTTAGAGCATTGCTGTTAATCCTTACCTTTTTTATTAGAACCCCCACCTTAGGGAGCCTCTATTTACACACCACTTTTTATCTCAAGACACACCATTAATTAGTTTATGGGTGATTCTACTTACACCACTATTTAACCTCTTTACACCCCCTATCTTATTACACCACTAAAAAAAATGTAATTCTCATCACACCCCCCAATATATTACCAAAACTAACTCTAAATCAACTATTTCATCTCTTTACACCACTAATTTTGTTAACACGGTACTAAATAATAAACATTATTTTGCTGTTATGCTGCCGAAAAAAATAGATCTCTCCAGCATTTTGTTACTATACATTTACAGAGCCACTTTCTCCCAAACAATGATTTTTTAATTTGTGGTGGGCCTGTTCGGTAATACAACGCTAATTAATTTGAATTACTTCAGTGCTATGTTACCGAACAATATATTTTTTTTCCAGCATTATGTTACTGTCCAATTAGATGATAATAAGAAATTAATTTTAACCACTTGTGAAGTGCCTGTTCAGTGATACATTGTTATATAAATGGGATTCCTCTAGTGTCATGTTACCAAACTACAATAGAGTTGTCTAGGCTCTCGTTGCTATACATTGAAAGATTTACTTTTTCCTTGAAGCATCTATAAAAAAATTCATAAATCAAGCATGCATCTATAAAATCATACATAAAAAACATCCATAAAATTATTCATAAAAACATCAAGTGTACGAATATCCATAAAGTATCCATAAAATCTGTCATTGTTTGCATCTATCAATCAAACATGTTATCACAATTCGTCTTGGTAATTTGTAGGTAATTTTTTCCCCTTACTAGAAATAGACATCCACACTTTTTAGAACATGTCTACCTCAATCGTTCCCTCTTGATCTTCTTGTTGTCCCTATAGTAACCACTTCTTTCACAAGCAAGTGTAAGTCTTGGTTTTCTGCCATTGCCTCCCGTATCTGATGTCTTTATAACAATGGCAAATCCAGTCTTCTTCCCAACGTTGTAAGCCCATTTAATTAATGCTTCATGACTACTAAAAATCTAAAGATAATAAATATATTTATACATCAAATTATTGATAAAACTCAATACGAATTAAAAATAAGAAAAAATTGAATTCATAAAAAAAACTTAACAAACCTCATCTGTAATGAATTCGTGACTAGAGTTCACTAATATTGCAGTACTTGCGTTGTTGCAATGAGTATAAGTATAATCCTTCTAGACAAAAAAATAAAAAATATAAAAAAATGAAACTGAAAATACATGGTAATGACAAGCCGAATTAATTTTAAAAATTCGGTTTGGGATTACCGGAAATGTATCTTTTATTCGGTAGTTAGTTATCAGACTTATATTTTTTGTTCGACAATGTAATGCTGGACTATTTTATATTATTCAATTTCGAACCACTGAACGAAAGTCGAACACCAGTCCAGAAAAACGAAACCAAAACCTACCAAATAAATAAAAAAAATCACAATTTCACTTTTTTTATGGTTCTTCACTACCGTTTCTTCATCCATTGCTTTCTATGATCAAAATACTATAATTCTCACTTTTTGAAAAGAGATGCGTAAGAGAAAAGAAAAATTAAGAAAGAAAAAAGAGTAGGGATTGAAGATCAAGCGGTGTAAGGAGATAACAAAATATATTTAATTTTAGTATTTTGTCCTTAAAGGTAATTTCACACATGGATAAAATTGGAAAAAAAAAAACTCATATGGAGGGTGTATAGAGGTAAAGTAATGGTATAAGTAGAATCATTTTTTTATTACAATATTAACCTAATGTAGAATGACCACAAAGGACAAAGGACTTTGGACTATGATACACACCTTACATAAAGTTACCATAAAGGACAATAATGAATACAACACACACTTTTCTTCTGAAACATTATTTACATATCTTCTCTCTCAAGAACCAAAAAATCCTGAAACAAATATCAAAAACCCTTAAACAAACAATATAAATTATACGCATTATTGAAGATTTTGATTGGATTGAATGATGGATGTATCTAGCAATATTGGTTTGGAATAATGGAGCAAGGAAAAGGTTAGTTTTTCTGTTCTTTTTTTTCGTTTTTGTGTACTTGCTGAGTGGTAAACCGTTTGTATTCGTTCGGATACTCAGATTCGAACAATGTACTCATGTTCGACTATCTACAACCGAACATATTGAAGTTGTTCGACAGAAACACTCTGGACAAAAGGTTAATGTTTGACAGACCAGTGTTGAACAGTTCGCACAATCAGACTTCCATATACAATGTCACTGGTTCGCAAAATAAAACATTCATATGTAATGCTCATGGCAATGGAAAAACGTACATAAAACCCTCAAATCTAAACAAAATGAGAATTCTTACCTACTGTATCTCCAATGTGGAGTTGTTTCCACCGGTGTCTTTGATGAAACAGAGAATGGAGGAGAATGGGTCTACACCACTGCCGTCTTTGATGAAACAAAGAATGGAGGGGGAGATGGAAGATCGTGGGTAGGGTGTGTGAGTAAGTAAGGGTGAAGATGAAAGTTGTGGGTGGGGTGTGTGAGTAAGGGTAAAGATGGAAGATTGTGGTGTGTATTAAGTAAATTTTGTATTTATCAAATTACTAAAGGTGTGCCTTAAGTAGTGGTGTACCTTGAGATGAAAGGTGGTATGTAAATAGAGGCACCCCCCACCTTATTCATTTTTTTTAATTCCAATTTTATTCCAATCTAAAATTTCACTTTTACCCTTATTCCTAATCTTCTAAACCTAATTTTCCAAACTTTAACCTAACCCTAATCACCTTTGGCAATACCACTATCTTCGACCACCTCTCACTACTGTGACCACCACCATTTCCGACCACCCCGCATCATTGTAACCTCTATCATCTCTGACCACTCCTCACTATTACAACCACCGCTCCCTCTAACGCAATCAGCCATCACCTCCACCGACAAGCAACCCCATCTCCTATTGTAGATCTGAATCAGAGAAGAAAGATCGACCCATTCAATATTGTGCTATCGAACTAAAAAGATTCATTTAGCACTGTGTTTTTAACCATTCAGGATTTGTTCAATACTGTGTTGCCGAACATTTAGAATTTGTTTAGCACTGTGTTGCCGAACCCACTCCTCCATCGTGACCTCCTTATCCATTGCGAGAGAGAACGAACAAGAGAGAGAGAGAGAGAGAGAGAGATGTAAACCTAAGGTTTTCAAAAGAAGAAGAAGAAGAAAGAGAGAAGAGGGAGAAGGAATGCAAGGAATCACTTGCCATAGCCTGTGATAGAGGTTTTAATGATGGCCATTGTTGATGGGTCTTTTCTCTTGCTCTATTTCTCACTCATACTTGATTTGATTGCAAGAAAACAAAGAAAATAAAAAGAGAATCCAGGTTAGAGAGAGAAGTGAAAAGGGGTTTGGGTTTGGGTTTCGTTTGGGTTTTGAGATTAGGAATATAGTTGGTATTAAAGTGGGTGTTTAAAGAAAAAATATAAGGACTTTATTTTGTTGAGTGAGAGTTTAAAGAAATGAATAGGCCAAAGTAATTTAGTGGAAGTAAATATCAGCCGTCTTCTTTTATTAACTTTTGAATAATTAACTTATTGTAATTAATTTGAGTTATATTTTACCAAGAAAAATGAGTGAGACTACTAAAAAGAGGAGCAGTAATAGCTCTAAAGTGGTATGGGTCTCACATGATAGGATGTTTTACTCTTGTATTTATTTTTATTTTTTTATTTTTTGAATTTTTACCTCATTAATGGTCAATTAATACTCCCAAATTAATGGTGAGAGGGGAGATTTGGGCCGGACTGTACGGCCTGGCTACGATAACGCAGGTTGGTCAAAATCTCACGGTGCCGAGCTGGGTTCTCAGTTGGCGCGGCCTCCGACTTGTCGTGTACATCCGAAGGGATTGGTCGACCAGGCATGGATTGAGGCCTGACCGAGCTATGACCGGAAGGCATACGGCTGGACGCGCCGTGATCTGTGGTGACCGAGCTAAAGCAGCCTGGGATAGACTAAGGGCGAGGGGAAGGTCGGCATGCCTCCAACCCGTCAGCCGAGATGGCCCAGCTTCATATAACCAAGAATGAAGGTAAAACGGGGAAATGCCGGCATGCCACGCGGCCGGTTAACCAGGACTGACCGGTCCTATGTAGCTCGGCCATGAGCATCACATGTCCCTTGCCGAGGGACAGGTCGGCGATACATAGCTCGGTTGTGTTGTCTGTTGTGGCGATTCTCCACAAGGAATAGGTCGGTCGCGGTACTCCGGTCGAGTGTGCCACCTGGGCCAATGGCGTGAGGGAGAGGAAATCTGCTCCAGGCACGCATCAATACCGTTTGGCAGTTTTGCATGTACTGGATGGAGGATTTGGCCTTTAAACACGTAAGGTAGTGGGAGGCGAGCACTGCTTCCTGTCCAGGGAAGGACAGCAGAGGTAGTGCGCGCACAATCCTGAGGCTGCATGGCCACCCTAGAAAAAGGAAGGGAAGATGAACGTTAGAGGTAAGCGATTGATGCCATCTGAAACATACTCTTTCTTTCTAACAACCTTCTTCTTCCTCAAGTGATCTGACTTGATCGTCGCAGGATCTATCCGGCACACTACCGCCAGGCAGCTCACCATTCTCTCTGTTGCCAGGTTAGACGCCGTCACGTGAAGCTTGGATTCTAAGGAGTACGGAAAGCAGAGGATATTTCGCCCCCGTACAATTGGCATCGTCTATGGGAACATCTTTGATACTCAAACCTTGTTTTTCAAGCTTCTTCGATCATCTCTATGGCCAACAACGACGAAACTCCACTGTCCGTCGTCGATGGCGTCACACCAGAGTCTGTCCGACGGAGAGAAGGCCCCCCGAATGTTCTAGCCATGGCGGGCCTAGAAACTTCTTCGCGAGGTGCGCGAGGCAAACGCGGAAGGAGTACTGATCGCTCGAAGAGTCCAGAGGGCCGTCGGCGGCGGGGGGAGTCCCATGCACAGCGCCTGGAGCACAAACTCAAAGACCAAGGCGCCCTCATTCGCGAGATGGCGGCAGAGATGGAGATGCTAAGACGTCAGATTAAGGGGAAGGGTGTTACTACAGAGGGCAACCTCAATGAGCGCACCTCGTCCCCCCGTTCTAGCAGCCGCCTCTAGGAGAGGACCCACTCTCTCTCCATCACCAGGAACTATGGGGTTGGAGATTCCGACCGAAGGGAGGGCAGATCCCTCACTCGAGACAGCACATACCGTCCCTCACGCCATTCTCCGACGTCACGATACTCTTTCTCCACCCGTTCCAGAGACCTGAGGGATGTATTGGAGGAGAGGGCGCGCCGTCGAGAGGCTCAGAGAGTACCGGCGTGGAAGAGATTGAGCGCTCCAGTTCACTGTAGCGAAGAAGTGGCGATGCCAGCGCCTAGAGTGATGGCCCATGCGCCAGTGGACAAAGAGCTGACGAGACTTACAGCCACGCCGTTGTCTCCGGAGATCGAGAGTACACCACTCCCTGTCGGATTCCACCAGCCTAAGTTCACCTTGTACGAGGGCAAAACGGATCCATACATGCACATGAGTCATTACCGGCAAGTAATGGCTGGCCACCGGCGCAATGACACCTTGATGTGCCTCATATTCCCAACAAGCTTGGGAGAATTGGGCCTGAAGTGGTTCGAAAGGCTTCCGGAAGAGAGTATAGAGGGGTGGCAGCAACTAGCGGAAGCCTTCGTCACCAGATTCAAAACCAACACTCAAACGCCGAAGGAGGTCGATCATCTTCTGGGCGTCAAGATGGAGTCAAGGGGATTATTGAAGGCATATAACGCGAAGTACTGGGAAACTTACAACGAAATCCTCGACTACCCTACCAATCTGGCGATCACTCAATACAAGCGGGGTCTCCCAGTCGGGCATAGGTTGCGGGATTCGCTCACAATGCACCAACCCACAACCATGGAGTCCTTAATGCAGCGGATCAATGAGCACATTCGTGTGGAGGATGATGCCACCTCCGCGACCGAGAAGGTTAATTCGGTCGCAGCGGACAGAAGGGTAGCAGGGAAAGTTCACTCGGTCGGGCAAAAGGATAACCGCCCAAGCGACCGGCCAAAAGATCAACGACATAGCCCAAATCGTGATGACAGAAACAAGGGTCGCAGAAACGACCGAGCTGACGCTCCCCGTGATGCAGCGGAGGATGCTAAGAGAAAATTGAAGGCGCGGACTGGAATCACCATGGTCTTTAAAATCCCTATCTACCGCATCTTGAGTGAGATCAGAGGCGAGCCTTTTGTCCGCTAGCCGGCCAAGTTGGGGAATGCACAGAGAGGCTTCAACTCAAGGTATCGCTGCACCTTCCATGAGGAACAGGGACACCGAACAGAGGACTGCTTGCCGCTCAAACAACATTTGGAAGAGCTAGTAGCCGCGGGACATCTTGACCAATACATAGATGGGGGTATGAAAGCCGCGCCATTGGGGCAAACTGAGCCAAACGGCCTAGCCGCCCTAGAGGCAGCACCCCAAGGCGTAATCAACATCATCCATGGTATTGTTGAACCAACAAGGGTCTACGAGCTCAGAGGGATGATTAAGATAGCCGAGCACATGAGGGAAGTGCTCTTCGTTCGGCCCACTGTGAAGAAAGGGAAGACCGAAGAGAAAGACATTCTTACCTTTTCGAGCAGGGACTTGAAGTGGATCCAGATGTCCCACAATGACGCCCTAGTGGTAACTCTTCGCGTCAAAGACTTTGACATCAAGAGGATCTTGATCGACCAGGGGAGTTCGGTTGAAATTATGTACTATGACGCGTTCAAACAAATGAAGTTGGAGGACAAGGACTTGGCCCCTGCGACGTCCCCTTTGGTTGGCTTCAACTCTCAGCCAGAATGGCCGGTAGGGAAGATCATACTACCGGTCAAAGCGGGTTCAGTCATAAAGCAAGTAGAGTTCTGGGTGCTCAAAGTCCCATCCACCTACAACTTACTTTTAGGCAGGGGCTGGTTGCACGCCATGCAAGCAGTAGCATCGACTTACCATCAGATCTTGCGCTTCCCGGCGCCAAACGGACAAATAGAGGAAGTTTGGGGAGACTAGGTGATGGCGAAACAATGCTTCGTTGCGGTAAATGGCAGCCGAGCAGCTAAAGGATTTGTCCAAATGATTGAGGGACCCAAAGGAAATGGGGTCCTTGAAGACGTAGGAAGAAAGGCCGAGGAAAAATCGGTCGAGGATTTGGTGGAAGTGCGCATCGACGAGAATGACCCAACTAAGTTCTTCCTCTTGGGATCATCTTTGTCTAGCGCCGAGCGGTTGGATTATGTCAATTTCTTGGTTTCTAACATGGAGGCTTTTGCGTGGACGCCTTACGATATGCCTGGCGTCGACCCTAACTTCATTTGCCATCAGTTGAATGTCTTTCCTAATGCAAGGCCGATCATCCAAAGGACACGCCGCTCAGCTCTGCACCATGCCGAGGTAGTGGCAGAGGAGGTCAAAAATTTGTTGGAAGCAGGAGCGATAGAAGAAGTGCAATACCCTCGATGGATATCCAACACGGTGGTGGTCCCGAAAAAGAATGGTAAGTGGCGAGTCTGCGTTGACTACAAGACGGTCAACCGTGCTTGCCCAAAGGATAGCTTCCCCCTCCCTCGAATTGACCAGCTGGTGGACTTGACCATTGGCCATCAGAGGTTTAGCTTCTTGGATGCATATCGCGGCTACCACCAGATAGCCATGTATGAACCAGACCGAGAGATCACGTCGTTCACTACTCCTAGAGGCCTGTATTGTTGTAAAGTCATGCCGTTCGGACTGAAGAACGCCGGGGCAACTTTTCAGAGGATGGTGACAAAGATGTTCGCTCCTCTTTTGGGCCGAACAATGGAGGCCTACATCGACGATATGGTGGTAAAGAGTAAGGAGAAGTCTCAACACCTCACCGACCTAGCAGAAATGTTTGCCATACTTAAGTGCCACAAACTTCGTTTGAATGCCTCCAAGTGCGCCTTCGGAGTTGGCACCGGGAAGTTTCTGGGGTTTTTGGTCACAAACCGAGGGATTGAAGCCAACCCATCACAGATCAAGGCTATACAAGAGCTGGAGCCCCCAAACTCCACGAAGGACGTGCAACATCTTGCCGGGATGGCAGCCGCGCTGAACAGATTTATCAGCCGGTCTTCAGATCGTTGCAGGCCCTTCTTTAAAACTTTGAAGGCCAAGTTCTTCTGGGATGACGAATGTGACCGTGCACTGGCAGACCTAAAAATATACCTTTCCTCAGCCCCTATCTTAGTTACACCTCAGCCGGGTGAAGAGTTGTATCCCTACTTGGCAGTCTCTCAACATGCTGTGAGCACCGTCCTAGTCCGCACTGAAGGCATCCAGCACTTGCCCATCTTCTATGTAAGCAAGACTTTGCTCCCGGCCGAGACGAGGTATCTTCTGCTGGAAAAATTAGCGCTGGCCCTGATAATGACATCAAGAAAGCTGGCGCACTATTTTCATGCCCATACAATAGTTGTGTTAACCGAGTTCCCACTTAAGGTGCTTTTTGAAAAGGCAGACTTCACTGGAAGAATTTTGAAATGGGCCGTGGAATTGGGGCAGTACGATATCAAGTTCCACCCGCGCACCGCAATCAAGGCTCAAGCTCTTGCAGACTTTGTGGCGAAATTCGCCCCTGGAACGCATCCAGTTTGCCCGGTTGATTTGGCTGGTGCGGATTTAGCGCAGCCCATGGTTCTGGCAATAGAGACGAGTGTTGGCTCAAAAGTGGGAGAAGGCCGAAGAGCGACCGAACGAGAGGAGTCGGGTGACTTCTTGGAAGATGTGCTTAACCAAGACAAGGAAAGAGACCAGAATGAATCGATCAGAGACTTGGAATTAAGAAGCTCCCAGAACCCCTTTGATTGCTGGAAGCTGTTTATTGGCGAGATGTGGAAGTTCTTCGTCGATGGGGCATCCAATAGGCATGGGGCCGGGCTGGGTATCGTACTGACTTCACCGGATGGGCTGATTATCGAGCAGGCAATTACGCTCGGCTTCCCAGCATCCAACAACGAAGCGGTGTATGAAGCCCTCCTTGCCGGACTAAGAAGCGCATTGAGAATGAAGGCGTCAGCCCTGATAGTATTCAGCGATTCCAAGCTGGTGGTCAATCAGGTCTCAGGGGAGTATGAGGCAAGGGACGAAAGAATGGCCAAGTATCAGGCGCTGGTACGCGCAGAGATCAAGAAGTTCGCCACAATAAGGATGGAACAAATCAACCGCGAGGAAAACAACGCGGCTGATGAATTGGCTGGACTTGCTTCTACTCAGACAACTTTTCCTAACCCTTTGATGATAGAATTTTTACCTCGGCCAAGCATTGAGGAACCGGAAGTGACCGAGGTACTCTGCACCGACTTGGGTCCTTCCTAGATGGACCCTAACATCGTCTTCCTGAAAGATAGAATTCTACCAGAAGAGAAGAAGGCGGCCAACAAGATCCAGGCCAAGTCAGAGCGGTTTTGGCTCTCCCTGTCCGGAGCCTTGTATAAGAAGTCTTTTACCGGGCCGTATCTGAAGTGCGTTCACCCTGCTAAGGTGGAAGCCTTCCTCTATGAGATCCATGAAGGCATCTGCGGCAGCCATACTGGGGGCAGGTCATTGGTTTACCGAGCAATTTTCCAAGGTTATTGGTGGCCGTACATGCAGGCAGACGCGCAGAAATACGTTCGCCGATGTGAAAAGTGCCAGAAATTTGCTCACCAGATCCACCAGCCAGTGAGAGAATTGCTCCCCCTTACAAGTCCTTGGTCGTTCGCACTCTGGGGATTGGATATAGTGGAGCCACTCCCAGCAGCCCCGGGCAATCGCAAATTCTTCATCACCGCCACTGACTACTTCACAAAGTGGGTTGAGGTTGAGCCACTGGTGACCATAAAGGAAAAGGATGTGAAGAAGTTTGTCTGGCAAAATGTTATCACTCGCTTCGGTATACCCAAGGCCCTCATCTCGGATAATGGCACTCAATTCGATGGGAAACTCTTTCGCGAATTTTGCGAAGAGCTGAAGATCGAATTCTACAATTCAACGCTGGCCTATCCTTAGTCAAATGGTCAAGCAGAGGCCTCAAACAAGACCATCCTGGACGGGCTGAAGAAGCGGCTTGAGAAGGCCAAGGGGAAGTGGGTTGAAGAACTCCCTAATGTACTCTAGGCGTACCGCACTACGCCAAGACGGTCGACCGGAGAGACTCCGTTTGCCTTGGCCTATGGCATGGAAGCCGTTATCCCGCTGGAAATTGGCATGCCAACCATCCAGTCCGAAAGCTTCTAGCTAGATTTGAACAATGAAGCGGTGGCATTGGAGCTAGACCTTGCCGAGGAAAGGAGGGAGCGGGCACTAATCCACATAGCGACCTATCAGCGAGAACTCTTCAAGAAATATAACAAGGTTGTGCACCCCAAGCTGTTCAAGATCGGGGACTGGGTCTTAAGAAAAGTGCTGGGCAACACAGTGGTCCCTGGCGAAGGAAAGCTCAGTGCAAATTGGGAAGGATCATACAAGGTGACTGGTCTCGCTGGCAAAGGGGCATACCATCTGGAAGATTTAGATGGCAAAGCTGTCCCCAGACCGTGGAAGGCAGCCAACCTTAAGATCTTTTACTTTTAAAATGTAATTGCTTTTATTACTTAGCTTTCTAGACCTTTAGCCTTTTGGCATTTGATGTAAGGATAGCACTGCTTTTTGTAATGAAAAATAGCCCTCTTGTTGTTTTGTATCACATCTTTCTGTACAATGACACCGCAAGGATACAAGGCCACTGTAGATGCCAGGGGCAAAGAGACCAACCTGAATGGGACCAGACTGATTTTCTCTCGCCGGTATAGAAGCGGACCGCACCAACAGTTGGTGTATTGTCCAGCGAAATGGTTGGTGTATGGACCAATTCACGTAAGGGCCGAGCTGGTTTTTTGCTCGCCCAATTGGGATGTTGGCGTCATGATCAACTTAAATGAAATATTGGTGTTTTGCCCAATGTTAAGGCCGAGCTAAATCAGCTCGGCCAAAACGAAATGTTGGTGTTGTCCAACCAATAATAGCCGAGCTGACTTTGCTCGGCCAATTGCTATGTTGGTGCCTTGTCCAACTTACAAGAGGCCGAGCTGACTTCGCTCGGAGAAAGGAAATGTTGACGTTCTGTCCAACTCCATGTTAGAATATTGGTGTTTTGTCCAATGTAAAGGCCGAGCTGGTTTGGCTCGGCCGAAGTGAAATAACTGTGATTTGTCCAACTTCCTTTAGGGCCGAGCTGATTTTTGCCCGCCCAAATACAAGACTTGAAGTGTTGTCAAAGCCAGAATGGCAGTGGTAATTTTTACTCGGCCGAATGAAAATTTTTGGGTTCGTTCGAAAAATCAAAAAAAAAATCGAGCTGCAAGTATCCGCGAACATTTGAGTTGAAGAAATTCTGATTTTAGCTTGGCATATTGCGCGGCATAGCCGACCTATCAGTTGTGGTGAATTAAAGTTTGAATCAAGAAATTTTGTACGTTGCAGCCGAACAAAAAGAGAAGATCAGTGGGCAAAAAGTTCAAATTTCATTGATCGAGGAAATTGCATTACAATTGTGGGGCCCTAGCCCGGTTACATTAAACAAAGAAAGAAAGGAAACGAAAACAAAGCAGGAAATAGAAGGGGGCATTTCAATCCAATTCCAGGTCAACCGTCTGCTCCGCGACCTCCACAGTCTGCTCGGCAACCTCCGCAGTGTGCTCGGGCAAGCCTTCGTCCGCCTCATCATCAGCGCCCTCCACCGCGACAAACTCCCGATTGGCCACTTGATCTTCGGCATCCTGAGATGCTTCAGGAGAAGTTAGCTCGATTTGTTGCGCGGCGGCGGCTTCTTTCTCGGCTTCCTTTTTGGCTTCCTCTATGAGCCTCTTCTGCGCGGTGCTCGCATAGGCCTGCATATAGTGTGGTATGAAGGCCGCAGGTGGATTTAGGAACATGTCAGCATCTGTAACACGTCCGCGAGGGACCCCGCTACAGTTCGGACTCAATTTGTGTCACGGTTCTTAATCTGAACCAAAGAGTCCAAATCTGGCAAA